TTATAATTCCACCTGAACAGTGTAGGATTATTTTAGCATCATTACACAAACAAATGCTGAGAGGATTAGCATGAGACTTGGAGGAAGGATTCAGTATGAGTCTGGAAAGAATCCATTCCATCTCGGTGCAGATCCAGGATTTATTTATCGCTTTCTTTAACATTTCAAGAAAGTTTTCCAGTGAATAATTCATGGAGCTTGATGAAATCAGTCAGGTGTGTAATATAATGTGTTCTTAGCTATGAGGCTCGACTGTTGGGTGGTGGCGGAGGTGTGAGCTCGACTTACTGCCATTCCAGTGTTAAATATAAGGAGCCACACTGTTATTCAACAAAAGGCATCTTGACCTTTGGAAGGGCACTTGGAGAGCACGGACCTCCACCGAGTCTGATAGTTCACTTTATCACCCTACTGTAAATACGTGTATTTATACACACACATATGCTGTCGGGCCGTGGCGGAGGTGTGAGATCTACTGAGTGAATCTCTAGTTACTTCTACAACGTTAAAACAGTCTCTTCTGACGCCTCGAGATAAGAGTGAATCAGATGTTTGATGGTTAATGAGCCTCACGATGTTTATTGTGCTTTAGTCACATCAGCTCCTGTCTGGAGTCAAATGTCTCGCGCTGCCCTCTGCTGCCTGCTAAATAAAATACAGCTGCAAATTGCTCACACGCATAAATATCAGTCGCTTGAAAACGAAATTAACGAACATGACATTTTAGGTCAGGCTCTACAAACAAACAAACCCAGACGAAAACACAACCTCCTCAGCAAAGGTGAAAATAAGTGTTTCATGTATAGACTGTTTATAAAGGTGGACGTGCCCTCACGTTGTTTGATTACATTTTTTTTTTAATAAAGCAGCTTGATCAATAAATCATAATTGAAAAGAGTCAGTAGAGAAGAGACAGTGTTTCTCTACAAGTGCTTATAGATCATCGGGTTAAACGACAGTGTTCTTCCATGAAAACAGTAGCTTTGTGTCACAGTATATTTTGAAACTGAAGAACTTTAACACTTTCAGAAGTTGTTATCCAGAATTAAAAACTTTCCAGACTGTTCAACACTTTAACCATCGTTTCTTCAGCTCATGGTTCTGAACTTCATCCATCATGAAATTAATCTTTAGTGATCTGAACGATTTACAATCAGGGCTGTGATTTCATATGTTCTTTAACATGCACTCATGTACGCATTAGCACAGGACACTGTGACTGTATGTTCAGCTGACTCAAACCTATGTGACGGACATAAAGCTGTCTGACATCTTTTATGTGAACTATTCATGGCAACTTTTTGACTTTCATATATATATGAATGTTTATATATATGAATGAGTTCTGGTTGGATTACTATCCAGTTGCAGGTCTTGGAGTCTTTGTTGTTTTGTTTGCTTTCTCTGCCTTCTCCTTTTTAACCTGGCTCTTCTTCACTGTCGCCTCCTTCTCCTCCTTCTCCTCTGACTCCTCGTTCTCCGGCTTGGAGGCGACCTTCCTCAGTTTGTGTTTACCTTTGACCGGAGCCGAGAAGGTGAGCGAGGACTTGAGGAAGTCCAGAGGGAAGATGCCAACGTCCCCGTCGAAGCGGTTCTTGGTCACCTGCAGGGACCTCCGGCCAGGACACGTCACCAGCTTCTTCTCCTGCAAAATGAGGACGTTGTCGGCTTCTTGGCTCGCCTGGAGGAGGAGGAGCGGGGGGGGGGTTAGTATGCTTCACTGTAGAGCGAACAGCACTCTGCACCGACTTCTCCCTCTCTCTCCAACACACTGACCTGTCTGTCGATGAGGTGGTAGACACTCAAAACATCCACAATGTTTTAACTAAGTTTTAACACCAAATCCTACCTCGTCAGTAAATCTTCCTCCTGTCCTGTGACAACACTCCTTTACTCGGTGATGTGATTCTAACACCGGCTGCACCGACTACAGCGGCAACCCTTCCTTTGAGCCTTCGGTTACAGCCTTCAGCACGGTGGGAAAGATAAAACATTTCTCCGTCTTACCTTCGCAGAACCAAAGATCGAGGCCGTTTGCAGTTCCCGATCATCCTCCTCTTTCCTGGGGTGAATGATCAGAGTCACGTGGCAGCTGCTGTTGGTGGCAAACTTCCGAAACGCTCCGACAATGTGGTCCTGGACTGCGAACCTGCATCACACGAACCGACATTTAGAAGAACTGGGCCTGAAGAAGCATATGGACGATTTGTCTTTTTAAATCTTCCTATTTGTCATCAGTTAACTTTCACTCACTTGTCTACTGAGAGGTTTTCCTGCCCCATCATGAACTGCAGGTTGTCAATGACCACGTGGTTTATGTCATAGAGGTAAACGGCATGTTGCATCGTGTCCAGCACCGCCCTGTGGAAAAGGTGAGAAGGTCAGAGACGGGTCAGACTCAGTACTCAGGTTTACGAGCTCTCTGGATTCATGTGGCATTGCGGAGTCTCACTTGATGTTCTGCTGCCCATGAAAAGTCATGAAGTAGAGCGGCAGCTCTTCAAACTTGTCCGCCCAGAAGTCGTACTGCTCCAGGTTCTCCTCCAGCCTCTGCATGGCAAACTGTGTGAGCATGATCTTAGCCAGACGCACGTTGTTGATCTCAAAGCTTCCCCACAACGTGTTGACGCCCTGCATGCAGAGGTCCAGAGCCAGCTCACTAATGAAGGTGGTCTTCCCACTGCCAGTAGGACCTGAAAAATAAAGGGACACATATTGAGATGAAGTAAACGTGTGTGATTGTAAACTGTGGAGTGGATAAAGACGATAACGACGTGTACAAGTGTTTATAGCTCATTTAAACTCTCCTGTCCCAAATTAATTATCTTTACAAATAAACTCTGGCCTGCTGTCTGTGTGTGTTCTATGTTTAATGATTTATTACCTGGGATCCATGTTTACACAAAAAAGATTTCACCATCACTTTAAACACAGAATAGGAACCTGTTATTAGTTACAAACAATGACAATTTCTACTTGTTATGTTTCCTTATACCTGTGAAAACAGTCAGCTCCCCCTTGCGATGACCCTTCAGGATCCGGTTGAGCTCTAGAAACCTCGTCCACTTCACTCCGGCCACCTGCTCAGTGTTCAGCAGCTCCCCGTACACGTCCTCCCTGAGCTGCTTGAAGGACACTATGGACTTATGGGCTGCTGGAATGGAGGCTTTGACGATTTGGTTTAAGTTCTTTCCTTGAGCTAGCGCCTCGACGGGACACGGCCGGTACTCCCCAGGTCGCACCAGAGAGCAGCGCCTCAGGCCCAGCTTCCGAGAAAAGATCTTTGAAGCTTCCCAGGAGCGGATGTCTCCTCCCAGCCACAGCGTCACCCGCTTGAACTGTTCCAGATAAGGCAGCAGGATCGGAGGAAGGCAGCTGACCCCACGAGGAAGAGCAACGCTGGGGAGTCCTGTGGCCTGACTCACAGCCAGAGTGTCCAGCTCGTGACCCGTCAGAACCACCTCAGAGTCCATACGGCCGACGAGGGGGAGGCCGAACAGGTTGTAGTAAGAATTACACTTTGGGACAGTAGCTTCATTGTATGTGACTTTCTCAGAGTCTGTGCTTTGGGCAGAGAGGAGCTTCACTCCCTTCAGAGAGGAGTCAGGTCCACCGAACCAGGGGAAAACCAGACTCTTGGTAGGTTTGAAGAGCCTCACACCAAACTTCTTGAGGGTTGCATTGGAGACCTTTGTGATCTGAAACAAAACATTTACAATAATCATTTTCCTGCAAAGAAAAATGTCACGACAAGTTCAAGTATTTTCTTGATGCGGTAAAATGTGTGGTACGGGTCAATGACCTGCAATTCTTTCACTAATTCACACTCGACAATACCTGGAACATGGTTTTGATCAGCAGAGCCTCGTCCTCTGGGACGTCAGTTAGAGGCACGGAGCTGGACCAGATCCTCTGCACCTCCCTCAGCTCCCTGTCCCTCTCCTCCTGCTCATCCACACTCTCTGGATATCCCAGCAGCACATGGGGGCTGAGGACGTCCTGCTCCTCCTTCTGCATCACCTCCAGACAGTCCTGGAGATCCTCCCAGGTCCCTTCCACCAGCGTGTCCTTGCACAGGAACTGCCCGGTGGTTTTGTCGACGAACAGGGAGAAAGTGTCCCCCCTGACGGACGGTTCGACGAAGATGCTCGGGATGTGGAGGCAGCTGTAGCCATCGTGTAAGGGAATGTCTTTAGAGCGTAGGTACTGTTTGATTTCAGTGACGGTGATGGGGCTCAGTGGAAGCTCCACAGGAGACTTGGCATCTCTTTTATACGCCCTGGTGCCACTGGGTGCCAGGAAGTAGCCCGCACCCACGCACGGAGCCTCGGGGGGCCTGTGGACGAGCCTGTGGGGGAGCAGCCTCAGAGACAGGGACGAGAAATGTCTGCGGTGGAGGAACTTCGGGTCCGCCGCCTGCAGGAGGCAGGAGGCACCCTTCAGCAGCAGCCTCCTCCACATCAGTCACCTGGAGGAGACAGTGGACCTGCAGCAGACACGACGACGACAAGAGACACGAAGGAAAAGATAGAGAGGGTTTAGAACCTGGAGGATCACAGACAGGACCGAGGCTTTTAAATCAAGCACACAAACACGATGCATGACAATGATCGTGTGTGTGTGTGTGTGTGTGTGTGTGTGTGTGTGTGTGTGTGTGTGTGTGTGAGCTTCAGATGAAAACACAACAAGATAAATCCAGAGAAAAACACAATAATCTACTTACGAGCTCGTGTTCTCTGTCTCCTCCATGCTCCTCTAACCCGGGCTTTTCGGTGCGTTACCAAAACAAGCCCGGGTGAAACATGGGACGGAAGCTGAAGAGCATCACCCGCGAAGTAAATTCCCGTCGAAAATGTAGAAGTTTAATTTAATTTAAATAAATATTAACATTTCCCTTGAATTAAAATCGTATTTGTTTTTTTTTTTATCTAGTTTTATGATTTCGCTTTTTTTTTTTAAAGAAGGGGAATTCGGGTAAATGTTTCACTCCGGGACTTTTTAGGGGACGGACATCGCTGCACACACTGCCCGTGAACTCGTCCTCTGTGACGGAAGCTGCCGTCCAGCGGGTTGTTCTCTCTGTGACACGGTTCGAACACCGAGACGTTTATTTATCAGGCAGCTAAAGGTCAAAGGTTAAAGATGTCGTCCAGGGGGACACCCAGCCGCTTCCTGGCGAGTGTTCTCCGGAACGGGGTCGGTCGCTACGTGTCGCAGCTGAAGCGGATCTCCATCGTCTTCTCCAGAAACGCGCAGAGCTCGTTGGGAGTCAGGTAATAAAACACGAAGCAGACACAGCAATGAAGGTGACACGTGCGATCTCCATCTCAACAACGCGTGACGGTGTGTCTTCTCCTCGTCTCAGGGACTTCATCGAGGAGGGGGTGGTGGATTATGCGAAGAGGAACCCGGGGACTGTCGTGTACGTGTCTCCTCAGTCCTGCAGGATCCCCAAGATAGTCGCAGAGTACCGTGAGTACACGATCTCCAGTCTGGATGTGAAGAATCTAGAGAAGCCATTGTTTTTACAGCTCGGGTCATTTCCTCAGTGTTTCCCAGGAAGCTTCCGGAAAACATGTCTTTGATGTCGTTTGATCTATTTCTAAACAATTTCCTAGGAGGGAGTTATTTGAACATGCCGTCGATGTACCGACAGAAATCCATTCAAACCGACGTGAACACGCGTCCTTCATGTATGTTGATCTGTCAGTTGACATGTTTATGACATGTTCAGTTGAGTTTTATCAATTAAACATCGTCTCGGTTTTTCCTCTTAATCAGCTCCATGTTAACTGCACAGGAACATCAGTTCATTTCACTGTAAAATAAAGATGTTAAAGGGTTAAAATCAGTCACCTCTCAGTCCTGTTTCAACTCTGAATGAAGACAGTACGCTTGTTACTACTTTGAGAAACTGTAGGGGGCAGTATAACACTGGCTGCTCTGAGAGCTCCATGGAGTCGGGCAGAGGTGAAACACCACCGGAGGTTTCACAAGACTTTGTAAACGAGTCTCCCTCAAAAACCTAAAGTCCTTGTTGACACTGCGACATTTCACAAGAAGCAGTTTCCGTCAGTGACCAAAGTGTGATTCACGATTTCCTCTCCCCCCCCTCCCCCCTTCCTGCAGTAAATGGCAACGTGAGGGAAGAAATTGTCACCAGCAAATCGTCTCCGCAGATTTCCGAGCTCCTGACCAAACTGACGAATCAGTCCGGCCTGGAAATCATACGCATCCGCAAGCCCTTCCACACGGACAACCCCAGCATCCAGGGCCAGTGGCACCCATTCACCAACCGGCCCCCGTCCATCGGCCCCATCAGGCCACACAAGCAGGACGCTGTGTAAAGGTTTTCCAGCTGTTTCAGTTCATCTTGAGATGTTTTGTCCGCACGGCTCTAGTAGTTCTCGTGTTCGCAGAAGTTTCCAGTGAAGTATTTGGAACATTTCTCGAGAAGACCTCACTACTGACTTACCATGTTTTAGCCGTGTCCTTCAGCTGGCGGCAGCAGAGAAGAACACGCGTGGCTCTGAATGCCACGCTTGAATAGACTCCACATGAATCCACCGGACGCTTATTCAAAAGCAGATAACTGGAGAGCAGATGCAACTATGTATGAAATAAAAGTAAATTGTGGTACTGGTGTTTAAATATAGATTTCCTGTCCACGTGTGTTTGAACAGCTTGTCAGGATAAGATCAACACAGCTCAAGTGTCTCCAGTGAGTCTGTCTGCGTTATTCCTTTTTAAATAGGTTTCACTGCTGTTGAGATACTTTACAGATGATAATGAGCAGCTCTTTATTTAGATGACACGGGAGCCCTTCATGTTTTTACAGTTTTATACTGAAAAGGTTTCCTCGCTGCACAACCTTTAAATGATCCAGAGGTTAAATGAACACGACAGATGTTTGTGTGATGACTTGACGGACGACTCTTGACCTCGAGCACGGAGCCGTGTTCTGCAGCAACAGAAAACTGACTCTCCTCCGGTGGGCGATGTGTTCAAATACAACGAGGCAGATTGTGGCATAACTGGCTGCTTGTGTAATACTGCATATATTGTTATATTTAACTTTATATACAGTATTTTAATCTATGATAAAGTATATTTCATTTATACATTTGGAATCTTATCTGAATGTCAGATAATATATAATAATATAAATATAAATATCGGCCTCTGAAATTAAGTAGAGTAACAGAGTACCCAAAAAAGTACTTAATTACAGTACTGCGGTTGAGTAACTATACATAGTTACTTCATACCACTGCATAAACATACAGTACCGTAAAAGTGGCTCAACTTTAATAATCAGTAAATCCTGTGAGCAGATTGGGCGAAATTAAACTCGGGTGCTAATAAAAGCCCCTGATGATCAATTGTTAAATGACCAACGATGTGAAGATGTGTTTTTTTTTTTCATTCCTACCTCACGTTTGATTTTTTCATTTATCTCCGACACCAGTTAAATGTATCAGAGCCACCGTGCTCTCTCATCACACCCTCACTCCCCAATGGGAACTCGCACAGCTTGACCCAAGCGAGGACATTAAAAGCTCTAAATAAAGATGCTGTTGCTAAGTTACCAGCTGTGAACGCTGCTCTCAGAACGGTCCCCACCTGAGCTTATGTTATACCTCCGCTCTGTTACACATGTATGTAAATTAGATCCTGTGAGCCCCGTTCCCAGCGGACGACAGTGGCCTCGCTGCTCGTCTTGAGGACGGGATCCAGTGTGGACATGTTCGGATTCTTCATTTCCTGACTCCCCCCCCCCCCTGTTGACAATGAACATATCGCAAAACCATTTTTTCCAGTCTGCACATGAGCAAGTTTAATGAACACAAATAAATAAGACGTGATGATAAGATTCAACATAAAAAAACAGCTCAGGTGGTTTGAACCAACAGACAAGAAGCGAGGGAGTAATTTCACATAGTCGTTATACTTCATTGTCAACATCAGAAAATTGTACAGAACCAACTTGAAGGAAAGTGCCACAGATTACAGGGGAGTACTACAAATTATTTGAAGTAAGAACTGTGCAAATCGCAAACTACACTGGTTTCTTTGGCCACCACTTAAAGAAATAATCTACACCTACATAAAATATAGCGCAGCTTGCATATTGAATCAGCAGGATGTCGATACCGTCACAGAATGTTCTAAAACAAAGTGCTCCGCTGAGGGTTTGTGTAGAGAAACGAAATTTAAACTGGTGACACGTTACCGAGTTTACCTAAAAAGTCCAGAGTACAGTTTTCAGGGCAGAGCCACTGACTATTGTAAACACATTGACAAACCCGGGAGAAAGTCCAGACCCAAGCATGTGGACCTTCTCTAGAGTTCATGTCTCTCTAGAAACATGAGAATCATTTAATGTATGTTGAACTAATGCAGAAAATCTCCCGTCCCTTCCCCAACACAAACTCAAGTGCTCTTTGAAAACCAGCTCTAATTGATGAGGGGGCATCACTTGTAAACTCAGCAGGGTCCTTGAGAGAAAGAGAGAGAGAGAGAGAGAGAGAGAGAGAGAGAGAGAGAGAGTGAGTGTAAATGTGAGCAGTCTGTGATGGTGCAGGGGTGATGAGATGGGGGAGACAAAGGAGGAGGCGGACAGGGAGAGAGAGGAGGAATGAAGATGAGGATCACTCTAAACCCTTTTCCATGTGAGCAACGAGTGGGATGAGAATGTTTGGAGAAAAACAAGCCTAAACATGTCCGAGATCGTGTTTGTCGTTTGAGATGGAGTTGGAAAGATATTTGCAGCAATAATCGACATTTTTCACCCTTTTTAAATTATATATAATATTCACATCTGGCCTGAAGTGCGTATAGTCTCGAGTATCATGGAGTTTCACGGAGTTTCACAGAGTTTCACGTATAAAAGTCGGTCGTCTGCATATAGTCTCTTTCTTTCTTTTCCACTCTGAACATGTGAAGACAGTGGCAGTGGACACTCTGCCGCATGATACAGCCAAGACGAAAATATTTATTATAACTGTGTGAATGAAGCTAATTTAGCTGCGTAGAAAACTTTACTTCAAGTTTAATCTTCCTGATCATAAGATGTTTCCGTGTCTACATCATCTCTGGCAGTCGAGTGGTGAAATGAAGCTTATACATTTTTAAAAAGAATCTCTATTTGTAATAAATCCTCTCTTACATGATCAAATGATGAATGGACAAACAAATACTCAGTAAAATGCATATTTGCTCCTGAAATCCACTAGATCCAGATTCTTATTAGGGTTCTGTGCACTCATAAATATCAGTCCCCTAAATTTGTCTGATTTTTTTCATCAAGAAACATGAATTATTCATTTATAAATCAAGAAAATGTTGAAAAACATCCAAAAGTTAAGTTTAAAGTTTGAATTTGCTTTAAAGAGACGTTTCAGCTCTTATCCAACCGGCTGCTTCACTTAATTAAAAACAGCCTCATACACCAGAAGTCAAGGTGAAGCTGACAAAGGCCGACCATAGGTTTCTCAATCCACACCAGCACATTTACCACCGGAGTGCATCGCCTCCATCATGAATCCGTGCAGGTTCATAATAAAGTGGCTTTCAAGGAAAAACTAGAGGATCACTGAAAACTGCCTCGTTTCATCATCGTCCGATTCCTCCACGTCTCACCAGGACATGAAGGTCAAGTGTTTCCCGTCCTCCTCTACCTGCACAGACGACATTGCCCCATGCAAACAGACAGACGCCCCCGTCCTCTCCCGGTGGAGGTGAGCCAAACGCTGCCGTTACTGTCAGCGCCTCCCTGACAGATGCACGCTGTGAGTCACCGGAGAGGCCTGCTGCTGCCGAGCCGCCGCTGCCGCTGCAAGAGCTGATTCAAGGCTTTGCTGCAAAGACGGATTCTTATTTGGCCGTGACACGTTTACAAATTACGCAGAGATTCATTTCAGCCACTTCTCTCCACGTTATATCTGTATTTAATCACAGCGCTGTTTGTCTTGCCAGAGAAATTCTGTCCGCTCTGCAGTTTGCGTTGTTTTAACATTGCTCTGATGTCAGGTAAACACTGAGGAGGCTTTTGTGAAGGTCCTCTCCTCGCTGGTTGGGAAACTTGCCACCGGCAGAGGACAAACAAATCTGTCATTTCCATTTATTCTCTTCTTTTGTAACATAATGTTCTGAAAGAATCCAGCGCCCGGAAATATAAGTGTCATCTTTCTGTCTCGGGGGGAAAATCTGAAAGGTGTAATGAAAAATCGTCCAGAAACAGGACGTCAGTCTGAAAAAGACACAATATGTTTACGTGTTTAAATATAAAAATAGCAAGTAGCAAAGTGTATTCTTGTTGTCAGCGTGTCGTGGCTTCCTCTCCGTCTCCTGATCTACTGAGAACTTCGGCGAATTCAATCCACCTGACCTCAAACCGCCATTTTTAACTATTCAAGTTGCCATAAACCGTTCATCGTTTAGAGCTGAAAATCCAGGTTTTAATTATCATCCGTAATATTTTAACCATCCAAAGTAGACTCAGCAGAAGCTACAAGACTGAAACGATATTATATCCTCCTGAAGAAACCACAAGTCCGTATGATATCGACCGTGTTTCATTTGCAATGTCAAAGAGAAGAACTACACTACCCACAATCCTCAGTTGTAATAGTGACGTCTCTGACGGGTGGAGCTCGACATTCCCATGGAAATGTTTATCACCATGCTAACCATGTGTATCGGATGGTTCCGTAGAGTCCGGAGAGATGAAGATCACTACAAACACGGTTAAATTCAGGAAGAAGCAGTGGAAGTTGTTGAAAAGGAATTGTTCGCAATGGTTTATGGGATGCGTAGTTCCTTTAACCCTTTAAGTCATTATGTTCACAGTCTTGTACCTTTGCCCTTTTTTCATTTGCTCCAAATCGAATGTTTAAAGTCACGATTCATCTTGTAGCTGGTTCCAGACTCAGGAAAGGATTTTCTGATACGTCAATTGAGAAAATTTACTTCCAGAACCTCTACTGGAACTGACACAACACATTTCTACTCACTGCGGCAACTGTGAATAAAAGACGAGAGAAGAGCGGTGTGAACAAACTGCAACACGTGATGAGTCATGCACGGTAACAGAACTGCCCTCTCAAAGTGATGCTCCACATAAAAGCCATATTTCACTGTGGGATTGAAACAACTGTTTTTGCTCTTTCACAGAAAAACGAGTCTCATAATCCGACTGAATTCACGAAAATGAGTCAACAACACATCAGAAAACACAGGATTAACTTCTGTGTAGCTCTTATTGATAAGGACTGATGCTGATTGGACGATTTGCAGAAGTGGTTTACTGTTTTTCAGAGTTGTCGTCGTGTTTTTGTTAAACCGGCGTCGTGTGAGCTTGATTCGTCATATTTTCGTATTTGCTTTTGTTTTGCCATTGTGTTCTTTAATTTGCTGTTGTCGCACTTTGGGGGATTAGTCAATTTTTAAGAAGCAACGGTCAGCACTGTTGTCAGATGTGGCGAGTTGGCCGTCAGTGTTTTATTTCTTGTTTTGGATTGAGTAACAGTTCGTACACGTTGCCATACATTATTCTTTCGCATAAAAAAACCCTGGACGTCCGACATCGAGGGGAAAAAAAATCCAGCTCAATCAAGTTATTATGACCATCAGACGATAAGGACTCTGAGAATCTGAGTCCAGTCCTGCGACTGCGGATGAGTCAAGCTTTTCTTCCTCCAGACAGAGGAACCACAACAAATGGACAAAAACAGGAACGTCCTCATTGCGACACACGGGATCAGGCACGTTACGAGGAAGTGTTACTTCACGCTCCATAGAGGGTTAACGTTAAATGACACCAAAAAACGTCCCGAGCACTTCCACAGGCTCAAGAAGAAGTGATCTCCTCCTGACCGTGTTTATTTTTTAACCTTTGCTCCATTTCGCAGCTTTGTGTGAAGCGACTAAGCAGCATTACTTCCTCATGGTTATTTGTTGAGCTGTCGTCTTTGGCCAAATCGAAGATCAATCTCTGGTTAATGTTGTCCATTGTTGAAGTGAAATCATGGGGCCATTCGTCGCTTCAGATCGGGGGAGGACACCAACCTCAGGTGCTCCGACAGCAGCGTTTCATCCAGTCAGTTCTCCCCACGACTACGGGTCAACGTTGGGGTAAAAATAAATAACTTGTGGGACAAAGACTGAGAGGGACGTCCTAGATGGAGCTCTCGTCAGGCTCCAGGTCCAGTTGTGTGTGTTTCCTCTGCTCCAGGATCCTGTTGAGCTCCTCTGTGAAGGAGTGGTAGAGCGGCGACATGCCCTCGTGGTCGGCCTGCCGCAGCAGCACATAGCTGTTCCCGTTCATCTTCCTCAGCACGCTGGGCAGAGTGGCCGACAGACCGTTGGCGTAGTCCATGTTGGGAAGTGGAGGTGGCATCGGAAGAGGAGGAGCCGGAGGAGGCGTTTTTGTCGGAGACATGTGGCCCTGACCTGGAACTATCTGGAGGAAACCATCGCCGATGTCCGCAAAGTTTGGCATCGAGATGGACTGACGCGCCTGGCGGCCGTTGCAGTGGCTGGAAATGGTTTTAAGTTCAAAATGGGAGCTCCTTTTTCTCTCGGAGGCGCCCAGGACCTGCAGCTCTTGCTCGGAAAACTTTCGGCCCCTGGAGGCCCGTCTGGTGCAGAAGCTCACATAGAGCAGCACCACGCTCAACACCAGGCAAAGCCCTCCGAGCACCGCCACCAGGGAAATGTACACGGCCTCCATGTGTCTGTAGGTCTGGAACGCAGGTCCTGGAGGCAGCGGGGCGGGAGGCGAGGGCAGGGGCTGCTCGGTGGGGCCGCTGGCGGAGAAAACTGTTGGGCTGGAGACTGTGGTGGGGTTGGTGGTGGCTGTGGGCTCCACGGGGTAGTACAGGTCTGTGTGCACCTGGACTGTGTAAAGATAAACCAGCACTGAGACCGAGTTCTCCACGGCAAAGCAGCGATAGGAGCCGCTCTGCTGGGCACGAGCGCCGATTATGAGGAGGCCGTCTGTGCCGATGCGGTAGCCCGAATTCAGGTCGTACCCCTGGAGATCTCTGCCATTCAGAGTCCAGCGTGGCGCCGCCAGGTTGGAGCGTAATTCACACTGTAGTAGCACGTCGTCACCCGACATCACAGAACGCCGCCGATGGACCACTGAGCGACAGAAACAGAGCACAGGCAAAAAGAGATTAGACGGAGCAGAGGCGGCAGGATGACAGAAATGCAGCGGGACAGACAGATGGATTGAGCAAGACGTCGGGTCGCAAAGGTTCCGATTTCAAAGTGCAGGTGAGCAACCTGTGCGGCTCAACCCACCACCATCGCTTTCCATTCCATTTCATAAGCCTCTTTAAACGTGGCGAGCCCTGCAATGCAGCCGGCACGACCGCCTGACCTCCAGCAGCAGAGGAACTGATTAGAATGTGAGCGCTGGGACCTGGGGGATGGGGAGGGAACGCACACCCAGTGGAATCTCTTAATAGCTGCTAAGTGCTGGAGTTTTCAGGAAGAGAAAAGAGAGGTGTGTGCTGGACGTCTTTCACCCCATAATCTGTGTGAGTGTGTGTGTGTGTGTGTGGGAGAGAGAGAGACACACGAAGAGGGAGGCAGGCAAACCCACCAAGGACACTGAGCGGCAGGTGAGAATAAAGAATTAAAAGCAGATTGTATGAAAAGCGGCGTGTGCGTGTTGTAACATACCGTTTCCTAAATTCTCTCTGCAGCCTCTGATC